AGCCAATTTTTCCAGCACCATTTATTAAAGAGGCTATCATTCTTCCAGTGAGTTTGATTGGCCCCTTTATCAAAGATTAGGTGGTTGAGAGTCTGCTTATTCATGTCAAAGACGCGTCTTTCTATTTTCTGATGTCCCTTCAATCTCTTCAGAGTATCATATGTTTTGTTAAACAAGTATTTTATTTCCCTGTTTAGATTAACTGCTGTTTTTAAATTTTTAAAGCTATTATGAAAGAAACTATTTTCCAAATTTCTTTCTTTATGGGATTAAGATTTATGCAAAAGAACACTATTGAATTTAGCATTTTGACTGTGTATTTTGCCACTTTGATAAATTTGTTTATTAGATCTAAACGGCTTCTGATGGAGTCTTTGAGTCTTCTATGTAAAATGCTATGCAATTTGCAGATAAATAGTTTGACTTCTTCCTTTCCCTTTACAACTCCTTTCATTTCTTTCCCTTGCTGATTGCTCTGGCTAAAGTTTTCAGCACTATTTTGAACAATAGTAGTAAAAGTGGGTAACTTTGGCTTGGTGCTGATTTTGGAGGAAATGCTTTCAGTACCTCCTCATTTAGTGTGACGCTGACAGAGTGTTTTGTTAGTTTGAAGTAAGGCTATTCTGTATTTGTTTTCATTAGGCTTTTAAAAAATCGTAACTGGTTGTTGAATTTTGTCAAGGTTTTCGTGCACCTATTAAATTATAGTGTTGCTTTCACCCTGCTGTGTAATTCCAGTCTTAGTCTTTGAGGTAACTATTGTGAATTCTACAAACTTTTCCCATGCAAAGTGTTGCTACATCATAAAAGCCATACAGATCATTAAATAAAGGAGGAAAAAACCCCAGAATATTACCTGTATGAATAATCTCCCACATGGCATCAGAATGTAACCTATTGTCTCACTTATGAAGGATATTAGCTGTGAATCACGTGGCAAAATGGCTAACTTTGGCTGTTAGCATAAACCTTGGCAATCTTAGTGTAAAGTAAAAGGAGAAAAATTCAATTTACTTACAAGGAGATGTTGATAGCAATTCTTATATGTGACACATCCATAGAGTAACTGAAAACTTAAAACTACCACTGACCCTCCAGTGGGACACATGAACATAACCATATCTTTAAAACCAGCTTTATTTCTTGAGCAAACTGAGATACTTCAAATACAGGCAACTAACAACATAACTTTTTCCTGTGTTATGATTTATCATTTAATGTTTTGTCAAGCAATAGAAACAAATATATTTATTTTAATGGAGACACTTGAATATGGACAATTGGTTGCATAGTTACTGCAGAACTATAGCAAAAGTGGAGCAATGTGGTCACAGACAAAGGTGCTGAAGGTCGAGTCTACGACATAGAAGCTTTCGGGTGTGAAAGGAATGCTGAAATATACTGAGATTTCAAGGTAGTTAAATTTACTGAGTAAACACTGAGTAACAGTGTTTAGAAACAACACCAGGTAGAAGATTGAGCAGTGATTTCACGAGCGTGCATTCAACAAAAAAGGCAATTAGTTGAAGGGCAGAAATGGTACAGGAAGATAATTTAAAAACCAGCTGCAATAATAGTAAGTTTTATGTTTTTAAAGTACAGTGCAGTTGAGAATGACATTTGACTAAGAAGACCTCACCTAGTGCTAAAGTGACCACACTTCTCACCTGCCCATTGAAGCTTTATCCCTTTAGGAGCCGGCATCTGAACTACTTTGAAGCTTTTAAAAAACCACATAGTTATTCACATCCATGTACATGTACAAGTACTGGTGTTCTTAACTTCTCCAGGTGATTCCATTAAAAGCCAACCCTGAGAAACACTGATATGGTCCCTGACATAACAGTCCTAAAATACCTATTATCTATCTATCTACTATCTATCTACTATCTACTATCTATCTATCTATCTATCTATCTATCTATCTATCTATCATCTATCTGCCACTTTAAAGAAAGAATGCATGAACTATGAAAATTCATATAACTTTTGAACATTCATATGGTTTATGTATAAATAGCACCTCCCTTGGAGCCCAGGGTCTTTGCTCAGGAATTATAGAGGTTTCCTGGGTTTATTGATTTAGTCATGATGTTTGTGATGAAAAGAATTCCGGAACACTCACTTGATACAATTAAAGACAAAGAAAAGGAAACCATGTTCAGGTGTTGATTCATGGAGCAGAATGAGAGTCAAGAAGTGAGAAGTATGTGACCAAGCAGGCAGGAGATGCAGGAATAGATGATTTGTTTTCCAACTCAAACTTCAGAAAGAATGGAAGATAATGAGATTACTTTCTTCTGTTCTGCATCCTCCACAGGGCACTTTTAATGTCCTTGTTCCTCAGGCTGTAGATGAAAGGGTTGAGCATAGGGGTGAAAACGGTGTACATCAGCGAGGCCACTGCACTATTTCTAGGAGAATGTGACACAGCAGGTGCAAGGTAAACCCCAATGGCTGATCCATAAAATAAGCAAACTACTGAGAGGTGAGACCCGCAGGTGGAGAAGGCTTTATATTTTCCACCTGATGATGGGAGTCTCAGAATGGAAGAAACAATTTTACAGTAAGATAAAAAGATTCCTAAGAGGGGAAGAAAACCATAGAAGACAGCAACGAAATACATGACTAGATTTTTAGTTATGGTATCAGAACAGGCAAGATTAAGAAGCTGAGTAGGTTCACAGAAGAAATTAGCAATTTCCACACCCTTAAAGTAGGCAAAATGTAAGGCAAACACATTGTGCAGCTGGGACATGAAGAGACTAAACATAAAAGACACAAAAACTAAGAATACACAGAGATGAGGGCTCATGATACCTTGGTATTGAAGGGGGTGGCAGATGGCCACAAACCTGTCATAGGCCATCACTGTCAGAAGCATATCATCCATACATATAAAAATAAGAAACACAGACATCTGAGTCAGGCAGCCCACATAGGAGATGACTGTGCTCTGAGACTGGATTGCCACAATCATCTTTGGGACCGTGGTGGAGATGAAGCAGATGTCAGAGAAGGACAGGTTGGAGAGGAAGAAGTACATGGGGGTGTGGAGGCGCGCGTCAGAGCGGATGATCAGAATGATGAGCAGGTTTCCAAGCACTGTGACCAAGTACACGGACAGGAACAGCCCGAAGAGGACGGGCTGCAGGTCGGGATCCTCTGAGAGAGCCATGAGGTGGAATTCTGGGTCATGTGTTAGACTTCCTGCTTCTGTATTGTTTGGACACCTTCGAAAAAGAAAAGAGAGTTGGAAAGAGAGAAAGAGTGGGTGCCAAGTGTTACACAACAGTAAATATTTTTTTGACTTAGAATACTTAAAATACTGCACAAGAACTAGGATGGCATTATCTCAGTACCAAATGGAACTTGATACCATGTGCCAATTTTCCTCCAGGAACTTTCCTCTGCTTGTGTTTTTTATTTCCTTCTTTTAGGAATAAAATTCTCACTGAAGTTTTGTTTGTATTTTGAAACACATACAAAGTTAATACGTAACTTGTATTCTCATATACAACTTGTATAATACAAGTTAATACATAACTTGTATACTTAAGTTTGGTGGACTTCAGGTTTTGATACATTAAAACTAAATGCACACAACCAATTGCATCATTGGTCACACATGTGGCATTGCTGAAGTGTTCACTTACCTTCAGTGAGGAAAAAATAATGAAATGCTATGAAATACTTTTGAGATATTTTATTCTACACAAGTGTATTTGCATCAATCTCATTCTTTCTCAGAAAATATCCAGCAAGGGAAAGAGTGCTGTCTTTTTAAAAAACTATATTCTATAATGGGTGCCCTGGGAATAATGCTTTTTTGATTTTCTGAGCATAAAATTCACTTATATATAATTAAGTATGCAAAACCCAAGTTTGAGTCCCTCCGTTCTTGTGGCATTTAATAGATTTTTTACATCAATCCTTCCTTCTACACTGGCTGCAATTCTCTTACATATGCTTCTTGAAGGCAAGTTTGATTTATTATTTGGTCATTCCAAACTGAGGTTAATTGAGAAAATATGTAAAAATAAATATACAGAAAATCATGTAAACACCTGAATAGATTCATCATCTATAAAGCGGGGACAATGATTTTCTAGTTTTTTTTTTTTACCATAAAAAGAATTTAAAATATTTTAATTTCCATAGAGTGGTAGTACTTACTCTAATTTTTAATATGTTTACTTGTGAGTTAAAAAAATCAAGGTAGCCAAGCTTTGAGCCAAACCTAATATTTTCAGAATACCTGCATGTTAAATTCATAGTTTTCCTTTTCTAGAGCAGACTTGAGAACCACTGTCTTTAATATTTCTTGATATTTAGAAAATGAAACCTTAATATTATCTGTAAATATAGCAACTTATACCCATATTTAAAAATGAACGTTTAGTAATATGCTCTTTTGCTGTGATTGATATTAGCAACAATGAAATTTGATGTATTATGTTCATGTACCAATATCCTACAGTGAATGCAGTCATTACGTTCTGCACACATGTACTAAGGAAAGTTAAGAAAAAAGAAATGAGTTCTTGGTATCTTTGCATGATTTCATTTTACTGGATAACTGTATCTCCAAAAGAAAGCACCACCATGGATTCAGAGTGCCTATTTTAATGTCAGGGATACATGTCAGTACTGATCTGTGGATTCATAGCATTTTAATGCAATTCCTATAGCTCACCTACATAGTCTACAATGTAACAACTACAGTTCCATATATTAAATTATATTGACATGAGGTTTTGATTCTCGCTGAGAAGTATATATCAACTTGACATGCTTTAACTGATGTGTAGCATTACTTGAGGCAGGAACATCACTTAGAAAGTTTATTAAAATTGTTTCCAAATCCTTGTCTTTCTCCATCTGATATAAATGGAAAGTTCTAAGTAATACACTAGTTGGGGATAGTTATATGAATTAGAACAATGGAGGTATGTTGCATTTTTCTATTAATCACTACATTTCTTGTCTCAAAAAATCTATACGAATCAAATTTAACTTGGTATTTCCTATCAGCACAGTACTGATATATACCAAGTAATAATCTTCTGTTGACAGCGAAATTTCTTCATGTATAGAGAATATTTCCATTTTCCTGTGTATTTTCCAGAGCCCTGGTTTGAGGAGCAGGAAATCAACACGTATGGGCCTCCTTTTGACCTGGTGCTGTGTGCAGACTGTGTGGATCTCTCTCCCCCTCTCTGTGCTCATGCTACCTCACAGGAAAAAGCAAAATAAATACCATCTACACAACATGTGTGGAAACTAAGGATGTTTGGAACTTAATAAAGGTTCCTCATTGTATTGTTTCTGCAAATAAACAATTCCATCAGTGTAGAAATAGTGTGTTGACTGATGGTGATTGTTGGTAGTCAGTGGAGCCTGGAATGACATGAAGCAGCTCAAATAATGATTATTTGTCTTTCTGACTCTTTTTCTATTTTAAAATGTTTTAAAGTGTACAGATATATCATCAATCCAGAAAAATAGTACTTAAAATGAAAGAATTTCATAATATATTTCTATAATGCATTTTTTTACATTAATTGGCTGTTTTTTCATTGTCTATTGATATGACAATGATTTTTTTATTGGCATATGTTTGTGGTACATAATTACATTCATCCTTTTTATTTTTATTTCTTCTTTTCCTCTTAGTCTCCTTCTCCTCTCCTTTCTCCTCATCCCCAAATCTTCTTTCCATCTCCACAAAGTCTATTTCCCTGTTTTCTATCATCTCTTATGCTTTTTAAAGCCCATGACCATCTCTACTAAACTGTTTCAATAACGGAACACTGCAGATGCTGAAATTTTAGGACCCCTGTGTCCGAGATACAGACATAAACAAGAGCTGTTATTTCTCGTCTGTTACTCTGTTGGACATTCCTGTAAAGGATAGTAGGCCAGAGAGTAAATCTCCAAGTGTGTCACTATGGCACTAATTATGGTAGATTTTTGTGGAAAACAGGAAGGATCTATGCAGTGCTTAAAAGAGGATTTTAGTTTTAATATCTCCTCTATGTCAAATATTGTATAGGCTTTGAAGATTAGAGATGATTTAGCCATTTCTTTGCAAGTTTGTCCATATACTTCTGTGAGGGAAAAAATTAAATGTCCCATTACAGAAATAGATAAGCAGTTACTTCAGTCGCTGAATATTTTAATGATATGAAGTGTAGCATTGTGATTATTAATAATCTAAATTATACTTTACCCTTATTTTACACATATATCATGTATTAAAGACACATCTAGCATTTGTGTCTGTTTGTCTCTGCTTCAGCCCAGTTATATCAACTAGAAATAAACCCATGGTAATTGTGAGTCTCAGAGGCACTAACACCCTGCCTGTGTCACAGAAATCATAAAGAGGACTGATACTCAAAATTTGACTGTCACACTCTGCATCCAAACTTGAAAGCTTCTTCACTGATCCTCAACCATCAGAAAACTGTCAGCCCAAATTGAGATACATAAATATAGGCACATCAGAGGTACATTTTATCTATTTGTTTATGTTTGTTTGTTTTTTGAGACAGGGTCTTGCTATGTAGTTGAGGCTGGCCTTGAACTCACTGTGTTGTGCAGGTTGGCTTTAAACTCATGGAAATCCTTCTGCCTCAGCCTCATGAGTGCTGGGATTACAGGCATGTGCCACCATACCTTGAGATATAGTTTTAAAGTCTAGCAAGTGACCTAAGCAGGAATGAAGTCAATACCTGGCCACATGTCCCCTCTTTGGGTTGAATGGGCAGGTTAAAAATACAGAATGATGTGGATTTCTGCAAGAATACACTAGGTAGGGGAAGGAGGAAGATGTATGCTGAATTATCATCTGCTTGCTTTTTCTGTGATCATTGCCTTTGGTCTATGACTGTCCTTCCCACACTAGATGTACTCACTGCTCCATCCTGTGATCAAGAAGGATCTCCCCCCTTCCCAAAAGACTAGCAGAGTGAGGAAAGGTGTCCCCTCCTGGAACAACAGGGAAAGGACGCGTCTGTGGATGTTAATAGAACAGCTCGCCAGGTTTCTCCTGGCAGCATATCCTCTATCCATTTCAGGCAGACCATTTCAACCATCTCTTCCCTCTTTACTTACTTAATAATCTGATAGTAGTTATACATACATGATATCTTTCCTTTTTTTCCCCAGAAAATAAGTGGACGCATGATTTTCAGAAGACTGTAAATAAGGAATGAAATGAAATGGACTATAGAACATGTAACTAGCAGGAATTCCTGAATCTCAGGAATCCCTGAAATACAACTCATGGTGTTGTGGATACCTCATCTTCCTCCCAATTTTTTAATTCCCTTCCTAATTCTTTTGGAGGGGCTGGGGATTTAGCTCAGCGGCAAAAGCCCCTGCCTGGCAAGCGCAAGGTCATGAGTTTGGTTCCCGGTACCGGAGGAAAAAAAACCAAAAACCTAATTCTTTTGGAATGATAGGGAACAGTGCAGAGCAGCCTAGTATTTGTTTTTGTGGGTGAGATGTCTAGAAAGTATGACCAGTGTAGGAGGAAAGCAAAACTGAGTGAATTATCTGGGACTCTCAACCCAACACAGAGCACAAATTTCACACTCTGCATAGCTGAAAGTTTTCTGGTAGTATCGCTTGATCATGTCACCAAAACTGTCTTGTTACCCCTGATGCAAAGGACTTTCTCCAGCCATTATCTCTTTCAGCACTTACTGGATATTGCTTCTGTGGTCCAGCATGGCCAGTGGAGGTCCAAAGCTATTCGTTTGCCTTGTAGCCTTATGAAGATCTAGCTTCTTCCTCAGCCTCAATATGAATACAGTATCTGATTAGCAGCTTCCTGACATGGGAAACCATCAGGAAAAAAGAAACTCTAGCAGAAAGCCTAATGTACTAGACTGATCAAACTGAAAGCGTAGAGGTACATGCTGATTATTGCCTATTATATGACATTGGAGACTCAATGCACAGATCTCATAATGAGACAAATTAGTCCACTTTGTCCCAATCTCTATGGACCTCCTAATAGTACTGCAAAGAAAAGAAGACAATGCACGTCCACTAAAGTTTTGCGGGTTCTTGAGAAGGAAGTTCTTGATACTATTTACTAGATTTTTTCTTTGCGATTAAGGTCGATCTGTATTTGACTTACATAGTTTAATACGGTAAAATATATATAATAAAAAACTACTGTCTCCATTT